GACATCAGCTCTCATCCTGGGAAATGAAACTTCCGAGGCACTTGAACTGGGATACCTAGCTGTAGTCTTGGGCATTTGTATTAGGGAGTGTGTATGTCTGTCCGTGTTAGGACTTTTACTTCTTTAGGATAAATACCCAGCAGAGGAATTGCTGGCTTTTCTATCCCCAGTCATCTGACACCTCGCTTTATCACTTTTCAAAGCGATGGCACTTGTTCACAGTTCCACCAGCAGCCTCGGCATCAGCAGATGGGCATCTGAAGAGGAGGACCAGAGGTACAGAATTGTCTGATCACAACTTTTTATGATGAGAAACTTACAGGACCAAACTTGAAAGACTAATACAAGGGCTCACATCCTTCCCCCCTTGACTGACACTCGGGATGGAGTTTGCAGCTTAAAAGCATTTGAACGATGGTGATGGTGAAAAGATTGAAAGTACCCCGGCCGACCGAAAGAACAGACATCTCTTTTGGAAAAAAAGAGAGCCAGGATGCTTCTTAGAAGCAAGCATGGTGAGGCTTCATCTCACATATTTTGGACCTGTTATCAGAAGGACGCCCATGCTTGGTAGAGCAGCGGGGCAGTGGGAAAGAGCAAGGCCCTCGACAAGATGGGGACAAGATGGGCGGACATGGTGGCTGACAGGATGGGCTCAGACATAACAATAATTGTGAGGGTGGCGCCGGGCTGGGCAGTGTTTCTATTGGACCCTAGCAGGCTTGCTATGCATCTGGACGTCCTCCTCGGCACCGAGCAATAGCAACCACCAAGCTCTTCTCCTACATAATAACCATGGTTATCACCATACTGGGACACTAGTCATGCTCTAACAGGAAGCCCATGTTCCAATTTCTCCAGTCAGGCCAAGGAGAGATTTGATAACGTTATTTTTTTCAGACCAGGAACCAATCAAGATTCAACACTTTGGCTCTTTTAAACTCCTTTGAGTGTAGTGGCCCAATGTTCTCTTGGCGAATCCGACCTTGTAAATTGTCCCACGTGGCAGACCAGTTTCTGTCCTCTCCCTGCTGTTTCTCAGGAATTAGTTGTTCGTGTCTCATGAATTAGTTGAAAGCTCGATCGGGGGCCTTGCCTAGCCCGGGGGGGCGGTGACTTTTTGAGATGGAAGAGCCCATCCTGTCCCTCACAGCAATTTAAAAATTATTTGAGAGCCATAAATATATATATTAGGAACAAATGAATCACTATTTTCTGAATAATATCCTAAAAGTCTTTTTTTCGACTTTACTTCAGAGCCACACGTTCGCCTATGGCTCTTGAGCTGCAGTGTGCCAACCCCCAGGCTAGACTCATGGCCAGCATTTGGAAACACTTTTTACTGATGTGTAGGCTGTCCATACCCCAAAGCAGAACACAGGTCAGGAAACAGAATATTACTAGCACCCCAAGGCCTCGGGCTTCCCCTTCCTTTTCATTAACCCCCACACCCCAAGAACGGCCACTCTCCTGCCTTCAGATACCCTTGGCTAGTTTTGCCTGTTTTTTTTTTTAAATGTTTTTTATGTGAGTGGGATCCTAGAGTGTGTGCTTTGGGGGTGAGGGGGGATGGTGGTCATCAAGCTTCACTGGACAACATTACATTGGAGACATTTGAATGGTTCTATGTTAACTGTTTGTGATAGTTACATAATCTGGTGTCCCTTTGAGAGGATTACGAGTGAAAGGGTGGTGTATGGCCTGTCAATCAAGATATAACCAATGAGGCCTCTATGTGGGCATGGCCTTTTCCTGAGAATTCTGGGAATTCCTGGATTTCCTCTCTTGTGGGATTATAAAGAGATTTTCCTCCAGCTTTGTCTCCCCCAAAGACATGCCAAACATTAGAGGCTTTTTGCCAGCATATGGTGGGAAGTCAGATGCTTAAAGACATCCTCCTTGAAAGCAGTCAGTTGCCACACTACTGTCTGGGCCCACCACAGGTAGGGCCCACTCCCTGCTGTTAAGGGCAATGGGCTACAAAGGTTTGTGACCATTAGCCTGGTCCCTGTAGGTGGGGTTTGCACCGTACTGATAATGGTTTCTATGGAGATCCAGAGACCAGGTCAGAGCTGCTCAGTAACATCCAAAGTTAGGCTGCCATCCTGAATCTAGGATGGCCCTTCTTGTCACATGTGTGCCCCCAATCCCTCCTCTTCCTATTGCGTGTTTATCCCTAGATTGTCCCCCTCTCATTGCTGTATAACCGATCGTGCAACCCCTTCCAGTGACATATGTCTTTACCTGTAATTAGGGGGTTTGCATGCCCCCCAAAGGAATATAAGCCTGGGTTAGCAATAAAGAGCTCTCTTGGGCTCCCCCTTTTGGCCTCTGGACTGCTTCCCCTTCCTTTCACTGGTCCTCACTCCCCTGTTCCATTTCCCCTTGTCCTCCTTCCCCTCCCCCGCTCTGTCCACTTGGACCACCAAGCAGGGCTGAGGTGAGCATGCTACAATGAAATGTGTCTGCTCCATTATTTCAATCTCTTTTATCTCTCATGTTTTCTATGACTTTGTTATACTCTTTGTGTACAATTGCGCCTATCGAACCTGCGATTAGTTGTGGGGGTCTGGCCTTTCCCCCCCACTCTCTGGAGGCACAAGCGCTCTCTCTGTTCACTCCCTTGGAGATGCTTCTACTGACAAGACACATGGCACTACGCTGATAGACCCTGTGCCCTGGGAACCGGAGAAGCCATGTGGAGACCCCTGCCAGCGTTGAGATGCTTACAATGCCACTCGATCCAAAGACTTTCTACCTGCTGCCCTGTGATCTTACTGCCTTTGGCATTGTTGCATGTCTTTCATGAGTCTGAAGAGGACTTTATAGATTGTTATTGGACATATGGGCTAATATCAGACTTATGGGCTTGGACTAGACTGGGTTGGAATGCTTTCTTAATGTACAATTACTCTCTTACACACATACGAGTCCTGTGGATTTGTTTCTCCAGTCTACCCGAGCTAACACACTGTTGTTCCATGGCACTGCAGTTCATTCATTTCTTTGCTCCACAGCAGGTTTCTTGGCTGCAGTACTATTAGTTAGCCTTTTGAGGGATAGGCAATCCTTTGTTCTGAGACACTGCCCTGTGTATTGTGGGAGGTCTGGCAGCACAGCTGCCTACCTGCCCAGCAGCTCCAGGTAAGACCACCAAGAATGGTTTCAGATTACAATTGAGGGAGCCACTCTACTCTCTTTTTCTCCCCTTTATTTTTATTTTGCTTACTGTAATTTTTGTTCTTGTTTTTAAAATGGCTTTATTAGCATGCACGTCACATATATACTTTAATTGCTCACTCATATGAAAACGTGTGCCATCCTCACCACAATCAATATCAGAACATTTTCTTCTTGTGCTCATTGTTGTCAGCTCCCCATTTCCCTCCCCCACCCTCCCCTGCTAAGACTGTATGCAACGATCAGTCTAGCCACTGTCTCCTGTCTCTACAGACCGCTATAGCCACTGGACTTTTGAGAAGCATTTGGAGAGTCTCCAGTTTGAGGCTATTATTAGGAGCGTAGCTAAGAACATTCTATTTCTAGGCCCTGTGCATGCATTTCTCCGGGGCAGATAATGAGGAAGAGATATGATGGGCCATCTGGTATACGTACGCTTTAGCAGACACTGCGCCACGCAATTTGACACAGAGGTTCAAGGGCTCAGCTTTAACGTTGCTGGTTCGAGCCCACCAGCCACTCTGTGGGCAAAAGATGTGAGAGTCTGCTTCTGTGAAGATCTGCAGCTTGGAAACCCTATAGGGTGGTGGGCTGTGTGTGTTCTCCTCGGTCCTCTGGGGTCACTATGCGTCGAGGACAGGGGTTGGTAGGACATGGATTTCCATCCACTGGTTCTAGTGACTTCATTTGATCTGTTCCTATGTTTTTAATAAGAATTTAAAAATAGTAATGAAAAAGTATTAAATCATAATTGGCAAAAAAACAATCAAACTGTTAAGATGTTTCCTTATTGCTTCTTCACTGATATCCTCACTTGCAATAGTCTTTGCTTTTATCTGAGCATCATTGGCTGTGGTTTTCTTGTTGTTGTTGTTGTTGTTGTTGTTAAAATCCATCGATGCCTTTGAGTCCACTCTGGCAGTGATCCTACAGGACAGAATAGAACTAATGACTGCACAGGGTTTCAGAGGCTGTAAATATTTGTTAGCAGTTTTGTGGGCATGTGATTCACAGATCATACACTTCAGTAGTTCAGTCACATCGAGGAGTTGTACAATCATCACCACAATCAGATTCATTTGACGGAGGTACACATCTATGTCTCTTTGCCTCCCATTTCTGTCCCGGCTCACAGCTTGATCGGTTCTGGGTGGTGGTGACAGTATTGAATCCCCCTGCCAACGAATAAACCACCAGCAGCTTCTCAGGAGAAAGACGGGGCTTTCTACTCCCATAAACCGCTAACGGTGCCAGAAACTCGCAGGGACGGTTCTACCCTGTTCTACAAGGTCACTGAGTTGGTATCCACTTGCTGGCAGTGGGTTTTGTCGACTAGTAAGTGGAACACCGTTCTACCACTGTGTTAGTCTGGGTTGACTAGAGAAACAAATTCAGGGCACTCATATAGATGGAAGAGAGTTTTATATCAAAGAGCAATTGTACATTAAGAAAACATCCCAGCCCAGTCCAGATCATGTCCATACGTCTGATATTATCCCATATGTCCGATACCACTCTATAAAGTCCTCTTCAGACTCACGCAACTCAGGCAATGATGCCGGTTGCAGAAAGATCACAGGCCAGTGGGTGGACAGTCGTGGATCCAGTGATGGTGGAAGCATCTCAGCGCTAGTGTGGGTCTCCATGTGGCTCCTCCAGCTCCAGGGCTCTGGCTCCATCAGTGTAGCTCCATGTGGCTTGTCATCAGGAATGTCTCACAGGGAGACAAAGCAGAGAGAGTCTGTGTGTCCTGCTTCCATGCCCACACAGAGGCCTCACTGGCTGTGGCCTGATTGACAGGCTAGACTCCACCCCTTCGCAAGTTGACAGATTATGCAACAACCACCTTCCACGTGTATCGTCCAATTTGAAGTAGGTAGTAGGTGCTTTGTACTACAGAGAGTCCCAGGCCTCTCTGCAATGCAAGGCTTGCCTCACTAAATACAACACTGCTGTCCCCACTCCACAGAGGAGCAAACTGTTGTTACGTAGAGGACCGAGAATTCAGGCCCCTACAGCCGCATGTCAGACCCAGAACCCCAGCGCACACACCTGGGCCCCCAGTCACATGAAGGTCCAGCTATCTTTTTGCACTCACCTGCCCACCCAACAGCACTGCGGAAGAAAGGCCTGGCAGTGTGTTTCCAGAAAGATCACAGCCTAGAGGACCGTGCAGGGCACTTGTCCCCAGTCAAAATCAACTCCAGGGCAGCAGGCCTCGTATGGTTTTGTGTGTGTGCTTCAGGGCTCAGAGATGCTGCAAAGACTCAACCTTCCAGATGAGCTGGAACAGCAGCAAACGAGGAGGTGGCCACGGGGAAGTGAGGAAGGCGGTGTAAGAAGGGAAGGGGGTGGGGTGCTGGAGCTGTGAAATAGGAGGTACCCACGGCAAATTAAAGTGTTTATTTACAGGAAACCCATGAGAAGCAGGCACAGAGGGCGGCAGAGCAGGTGCTGGGGCAGTGGGGGCACTTGGGAAGGAGGCCCAGGGCCGGGCTGTGGAGGAGAGGGGCTTTGGCTGGCTGTTTCTGCTGAAATAGCCCCCACCCCACCCCGGAAGTTCCTCAAGCGAAGACTTTGAGGAACTCCATCAGGCGAGGGTCCTTGTAGAGCTTTTCTTCCAGGGCCAGGTACTTCAGCGGGGCGAGCTCCTTGTGTCTGCAACAGAAGGTGGAGCGAGAAGGCATGATGGCGTTTGAAGCCAGCAGCCAAGACCCACCCCACCTTCGGCCCCCTCCCCGCCCCCTCACCGGTTGAGCCGCTGCTCTAGGATGCGGATGCGGAACATGGCCTGGGAACAGTAGCTCAGGTACAGGTCTTCGTCCTCGGACGTCAGGGTCAATTGGTTCTCCTGGTACCACTGCTGCTTCTTCTGCAGCTCCTGGGTCTCCTGTGGGACCCAAGGAGGAGAGGAGAGAGTCGATGGGGCCCGACTCTCACCCAGGCTACCACCCCACTAGTCTGCACACAGGAGCCCACTGCCCCCACCCGTGGAAGTCGGAAAGGCAGAGGCAGGGGCTGGCTGCACCGAGACCGGCACCAAGAGCTGTGAGGGCCTGTATGGAGGGGCATCCTGAAGGTCAGAGGAGGGGTCAGAACAACGGAGCATCTCTGGATAAGTTACCTACACTTTCAGAGCTTCCAACTTCTTCACTGGAAAAATGAAACTCATCACACCCACCCCCAACCTTATGAAGCTGTTTGCAATTAAATAGATAATATATGGGAAGTACATGGCATACACTTGGCCTGCAGAAATGGGTCAAGGACTAGGAGTTGTACAACACATCCATCCACTCTATCTATCCACCCACCCATCTACCTTACCCAATGGCCAACCTGATCCATCCATCCACTACCCATCTACCTTATCCAATGACCAACCTGATCCATCCATCCACTCATCTACCCTATATATCCACTTATTCACCCCATTCATCCAATTCTCCTACTCCATCCATCTATTCATCTACCCATCAACCCATCCACCCATCCACACATCTACACCACATACTCACCCCATTCATCCAATTCTCCTACTCTATCCATCTATTCATCTACTCATCCTTCCATTCACCCATCCATCCACACATCTACACCATATACCCACCCCATTCATCCAATTCTCCTACTCCATTCATCTATTCACCCATCCATCCACCCATCCACCTACGCATCCACCCATCTATCCCAAATATCTGTCTATTCACCCCATTCATCCAAATCACCCACTCCATCCATCTGTTCACCTACCATCCATCCACCACCCCATGCCCTCATCTAACCCGTGCATCCAGTCATTGAATCATATCTCCGTGCATTCATTCACCCACCTACCCACTCATCCAACAAACACAGTGAGACAGAAGCCCTCACCCTGGGGAAACTCCTGGCGCGTGCGCACACACCCATGACCCACATGGTCTGGGAGGTGGCTCAGCAGACAACCCTGGGTCCGTTTCCTAGGTGAAGCGGCCAAGAGTCCCTGCCGTCCCTGTCCCTCCCAGGGCCCGGCCCGCACCTTCTCGAAGCGGGCCTGGATGAGGTTGGCCTTGTCGATGAGCCTCTGCTTGAAGTCACTGAGACACTCATCCTTGAGGCGCACGGCCTGCCAGCGCGTCAGCTTCTCGCTCGCGGGGAGCTGCGCCAGGAACGGGGCCAGGTAGTCCAGCTGCGTCTCCATCTGCCGCATGTGCTCTTCGTGCATCACCCGCTCCTGGGGGAGGAGGGGCGGAGTTCTGAGACCTCCCGAGTGGCCCAACAAGGTGACAGTGCAAAACGTGGCCTCAAATCCAGTGCCCAGCGCTGGGGCCCTCAGGGGGACCTGTAGACTGGTCTCTTCCACCGCGTTTGAGGATGGCAGCCCAACCCTCCTTTCCTCTGTGCATTGTGGCTCTGCGGGGATCAGGGCTGTCAACGAGTAGCGTGGTGGTGCCTGACACACTTTGCCCAACAAATGGAGGTGGCGGTGGAATTGTGAGGTGCCACCTGGTCACGTCCAACTTCCTCTGACCCCAAGTGCCAGTGGGGCTGCCCCGTAGGGTTTCTTATGCTGCAGTCTTCAATAAGAGCAGTTTGTCCCTGTGCCCCCGCTGGGTGGCCTTGAACTCACGGCCTTTCCTTTAGCACAGAATTGGCTCAGAAGTGCGGTGGGGGTTGAGGCAGTCACCGGGTGCTTTGTCCCAGCTCTCCTCCTACCCCTTGCAGTGTACCCCATCCTGGCCCAGAAGCCCCTGGAGGCAGGGGGAGACCTGGCCTGGCTTCTGAGGGCTCTTTGAGGAAGAACACAGCACTATCGCCAACGCCAGCCTCCATAAAGGGCTTGGTGGAGGTCGGGAGGGGGCGGGTGGGGGTTTCACAGGGCTGGTCCACGAGAAGCCAGCTTTCCAGAAGCCACGGTCTGGGTCGGCGAGGGCGGGGGCTCACCATGGCCTCCCGGTACTCCTTGCTTTTCTCATTTCGCTTGGTGTCATAGATGGAGATGGTCAGCGTGTGGGCCTCTTCCTCTTCCTCTCGAAGCTTCAGGATCTCCAGCACCTGGGGTGGGGAGCCAGGGTGTTAGTTAAGCCACACCCATCCCTGGGTGGTAAGGCCACGCCCAGCCCTGGGTGGTAAAGCCCCGCCCAGCCCTAGGTGGTTAGGCCACACCCATCCCTGGGTAGTAAGGCCACGCCCATCCTTGGGTGGTAAAGCCCCGCCCAGCCCTGGGTGGTAAGGCCACGCCCAGTCCTGGTGGTTAAGCCACGCCCAGCCCTCCCCACCTGGCCCTACCTCCAGCTCCGACTCCCAGGCCTGGTGTCTGCACTGCTTTTCCTCACTCTTGAGCTGCATCATGGTCTCGAACTGGTAGAGCAGCTTCTTTGTATGCTCCATGGGCTCCACCTGGGGCAGCAACCAGCGGGGACCCCGACTGTGTCTCGGGCTGTGGTCGTGGGTGGATGGGCCCAGCCACCCAGCTGAGATCTGCCCATTGTCACTTTCTAGCTATGTGACCTGAGACCCGTTAGCTTTTCTGCCGTCACATTTCCTCCTGTGTGAACACCCAGATACTAGGAGCCAGAAAGAAAAGCAGACCCCCGGGCGTGGGTCCTGGGGACGTGGGGTCTTCTCTGCCCAGACGAGCGGTGGGTGAGGGTGTCTAAGCCCACTGGGTTCTCCACCTTGGTGGAAGGGGCAGACACTTTCAAAGGGGCTGCAAAGAGAGGGATCCCTGAGAGGGGAGCCTTGATTTCCCAAAAGGTGATGGGGTGGAGGGGGCAGATTTCTGATTGGGAAGTAGGTTTCCTGTCCTGGTTGTCCCATGTTGCTGGGCTGGGGCAGAGGACCCCTGGTGACTTCCCCTTCCCCACCCATCTGTCCGAAGTTGTTAAGTAGCTAGATACAGGGATGAGGTGTGGGTGGGGGATTGTCACTCCCATGCCTGCAATGGCCCCCATAAAGGAGGTTGGGAAGAAATCTGGCAACCATTCGACACTTATCAAGACCCAAACTGAGCATGTTCAAATTCAAGCCCCCAGCCCGGTGGGAGGTACACCTGGGTGGTCCAAACTAGGCCAGTGCCCATGACATCTCCCAGGTGGGCTTAACACAGCCAATGGGGGTCAACCAATACCTTCAACCCCACCGTCCCGCAGCCAGGCATGAAGTCAGGGCGCCTGCTCTGGGACTTCCTCTTTCCCTCTTTTATTACCCTGCTCCTGGTCAGTGGCATGTCGGAGGGTGAGGTCTCCCTCCCCCTCGAGGACACACATCCCCCTGCCAGGACCCCAGGACCGCATCCTCTCTTCCCCCAGAGCTCTCTCATGCCCCGCCTGGTCCCAGGCCTCTTGCCCTGTGCTCAGACCTCTGCGAATTCTTGTCCTTTCTCCCTACTCGGTCCTGGGATCCCTCCCCACCGTTCCCCAAGTGTGGGCAAGCGGTCCTCCGAGGTTTCCCGTGACCAGTTGTGAGCCCCACCGCGGTTTCTGCAGGGCTCTGCAAGATTCCCTGAAATAACGTGTACTTCTGCCATCCTTCATAAAAAGCCACTTGGATTGAAAAACGGGTTTCGGCGTGAGCTCTTTCTCGGGCGAAGCCAAGTGCGGAGGTAAAACCCACTGGAGATCTTACACAGCCAGCCGCCAGCGCCCCCGGGCCCACCTCAAAGCTGATGCACATGTCAGGCGTCATGATGATCTTGTTGCCCTTGCTGTCCACCTCGGTGCGCCGCAGGAACTCGCGCTTGGAGGCCGTGATGTGCTCGTCGCGGCAGTGGTAGCGCAGTTGGATGCGCTCCTCCACCATCAGGAACGTGCGCTCCGCCACGTCCTCGTCCGCAGGCTTCTTGGGGTTGCGGGAGAAGCGCTCAGTGATTTTCTGCAGGGCCAGAACAGGTTGAGGGAAGGCAGGGGGAGGGCGCTTTGCGTGCAGGCAGTGGCGCACCGGGCGGGGCCTCCCATAGCTTGGGACTTCCCCTGGAGCAGAACACCCCCCCCCCCAGCCCTCAGGCCAGGCAACTCCAGCTCTGTTCCGTGCTAGCTCTTCACCCAAACTCTGCTGTGCTCACTTGCACACCTCTAGAGCCGGGGAGCTCACCATCTTTCCAGGCTGGTCACTGCTAGAAAGAGTGGCTTTGGTGTGGGACCATTAAACTCAGGGGCCAAATCCTTTCTGATGACATGGAAGAAAACCACCCAAATGCGATGTTCAGTGGTTAACATGCACCCCCCTCCCCCCAACATTAAGGTAGGTAGAAAAGAGGCTTACAGTTAGACCCATGAACGCATGGTAACTAACACCTGACAGATGCCATTCTGAGAGATTTTTACGTTTCTTTACGGATTTCCCCGAAAGTTCGTGTGTGTGTGTGTGTGTGTGTGTGTGTGTGTGTGTGTTATAACAACACTGCCCCCTTGGCCCAGTGGTCAGGAGCCCTAGTGGTGCAGCGGTGAAGTGTCAGATTGCAAACCTGAAATGTCTGCCGCCCTGTAAGCGTGATAGATGGCCGGCCGGCCAGCCTCGGAAACCCTCCGAAGTCCTGCTCTGCCCTCTGCTTTGGTTCACTGGCTTATCCTGACACCAGGCCACCCGGGGAACGTGCTTCCGGGTCAACTAGTTGGCTCCCAGTGCTCAGGAACATGGCCCTAAGAGCCAGTGTGCTCTCCACCCCAAGGTGACCTACACCCCCTGGTCCCCAGACCCAGCCAGCTCCTACCACCACAGGCCGGGGGTTGGACTCCGGGCTGTTCAGAGCAAGCTTCTTGACCCTGGGGCCGAACTTGACATGGCGGGAGGAGAGGAAGTCCGCTCGGCCCAGGAAGTACTCATCCATGGTGGTCGGCGTTTCCTCCCTCTTGATGAGGCCGTCCACCCGGGCCGACTCGTAAAACTCCATCACACGGTCATTCTCGGGCAGCATGGACTTGTAGGCGTGCACTGTATCAGGGCGGGTCAGCACCAGGACCTGAGACCCTCCTCAGGCAGCTCCCCATGGGGGTATGCATTAGTGAGATAACCAATCCCCTGCTGGCTACTTAGTTTGTGACCAACTGTTTGTTCTTCTAAACAACTCCATGTGGGATGTCTGTGACACACTTTCTTTGTTCTTGCTAATCACTGAGGACGCTGGCTCAGCATGAACCAGTGCAAGGCCACTCCAGAAAAACCGGGCCATTCCATCTCCTACCAGCCAGGGGTGGGGAGGTGGCGGCTGCTTCGCCCACTTGGCCATACAAGCAATCAGAACTCTCTCCTTCCATCTTTGCCAACTTGAGGGGGTGTAAAGGGATCCCTATCTATCTGTGTCAGTTGGATTTTAAAAACAAGTAGGTGTTGTGTATGTGTGTGTGTATTGGGGGGGGGGGTCTGTAATCATTTTTTCAAAGGCACCTTGGCCCTAAGTGTTTACTCGGTGAATTCTTGATGAGGCTTGTGGATTCTCTCAAAGTACGACCTTCCCAGCTTTGCCAGCTGTCGGGGCCCATGGCCGCATCCACACATTATCTGCCACCCTGTGCACTGCCTGTGGGTGGGGGGTAGTGGGTGGTTCCCTGCTCAGTATCCTGACCGCCTTTAAATGTTGTCTCTACTGTGTCTCTTGGGTGTTTCCTGCCCACCGCCAACTATGGAGTGGTCCCGGCTGTGACGTCTCTGTGGGTTTTCTGAGTTGCCCCCAGCCTCCCCATGCTTTCAGGCTTGCTTTGGGGGACAGAGGCAGCTTCTGTTGCCTGCCACCCAAGGACCCTGTGGCTCCAGGGCTGCTGGTTTCCTCCCGTCACACACACACACACACACACACACACACATACACACACACATGCAAGGAGGCTATTCTAAGGAGTGTGGAGCCCACCCTCTCCCCTTGTTCTTGGCTGGCTGGCAAGGGGGCCCACGCACCACGCAGAGCCTGGGGGTGGCCCGGCTTGAAGTAGTCGACATTCAGGCCTGTCTCCTGGTTTATGTGCCTCAGCTCCAGCCTGTCCTCCCGGTTCTGGTACCACTGCTTGATCTCCAGAAGGTCGGTGCCTGTGGAGCCATGACGTGAGTGAGCTGCAGCCAGGTCACTTCCTGCAGCACTGGTCCGAGCACTCACAGCTCGCCTGCCCCCACGTGGAGCCCCTCCTGGCCCAGCCCCTGCCCCTGCCCCCCCTTCCCCAGCTGGGCTGCCCCCTTACATTCCAGATCCCTGTAGATGCTCAGGCAGCACACGAGGCCGTTGCTGTGGAGGTACGGGGCCCACTTCTCCAGCTTGGCCTTCTTGTACTGGATGATTTTCTGCCCATTGGGGCAGCGGGACTCGAATGCTGTGGGCACAGAGTGGGGCTGAGGGCTCTTCCCATGGATTGGGGCCGCCTGGCCTGAGCTAGAAGGCAGCTCCACAGAGAAGCGGCCATCGGTGATCTACCCGATCCCCCATGGCTGGACACTGAGGTGGTTTCCAACGTCCTGGTATAAGAAACAACTTCACTACCAACTTCCATGCCGCACACGGTTTGCTTTGGCTCATTATCCACTCAGGGCAGGCTCTCGGCTGTGGAATTTTCCCCGGTCCTCCCTTCCTGTCCCTGGCCAGGCCTCGACCCCTCTCAGCGGTGCTCTCAGACCAAGATGAGGCCCAGGCCCACAGAAGCTGGGGCAGAACCCAGCATACGCTTCCCAAGCCTGTCTAAAGCATTGTCCGGCCTCCTCTACCCTCCTCCGCACCCTGAGCTGACTCCATCTGACCCTTACCTTGGGGGGGCTCCTGCCTCCCGGGACCCTCTCTGCTTACCCCCAACACCACCCTAGCCTTCAGCCCCTAAGCTGGACTAGTGGGGGGCAGGGTCCTCCTCTGGGCCCCGTGACACCCTCTGCACATAGGCCTCCCTGTGGATCTGGGTGCCCCGGCATGAGTCACCATCATGTTTCTACTTGGGCCATGAGTACCCCGTCCTGCTTTCTCTGCCTACCCCTCCATGCCCTGGCATCCCTGCCTCATGTGGGCCTAACTGGCCACAGCCTCCTGTATGCAGAGGGCATGAGTCAGGGGCAGGCTGTGGCCCCCTCCCAGGGATGCGGCAGCAAAGGGCGGCCAGTGCAGCCCGGCCTGGTCACTGCCCTGGAGCTGGGCCTGGGGAGGGTGGACACACAGTACCTTCTGGGGAGATTTCGATCTGTTCCACCCACGAGTGAGGCATGTCGAAGCCCTTCTCCTCATCCTCTTTGCCCTGGGAGAAAGGTGGGGTGGAAGGGGTAGTGAGCATTCCATAGAAACATGCATGCTGTCCATCAGAAACGCTTCCCCAGGTTGATCCCAGGGAGCTCAGAGAAGTAGCCATCCGTTTTTGAGAAACGACAGCTAGTCCGCGAGGGTTTGCGGACTCCAGAGGGAGGCCTCCCTGCTCCCTGGCAAAATGCTTGTGTAGGCAGGGTACATGTGCAAACAGTAAGTGATTAAAAAAAAAAAGTAAAAGAATACACTATGATGAACTCGTGAGTCCTGGGGCACCCCAGCCCTCCTGTGAGAAAACCTCTCTCCCCTCTTCAGACTTAGGAGGACGTGGTATTTGACCTAGCGTCACCCTGGTCGGCTGTCACAACCCCAGTGACCCTGGGAGCAGATGCTAGGGAGTGCTGAGACTCCCCAGTCAAATGCTTCTCTGCCCCCAGGCTTGTGTGGGGCTCCCAGGGCCCCACACGCCAAGAGTATGCTCTCCACAGGGAGAGGGCAACGCTCAACATAGCAGACCATGGCGGGGTGGGCAGGAGAGCTGCATCCAAGCCCTCACGCTGCACTAGCCCAGGTGTGACCCTGGGCTGCTTACCGGACCTGTGTGGGTCTCGGTGTGCAATCTGTAGGTGGAGGGCATGATCCAGGCTGGCGGTGGTGGTATTGAGAGGTGCCATGGGGTTGAGTCTAACCCATAGTGACCTTGTGTACAACAGAAGGAAACACCACCCGGGCCTGCGCATCCTCACAGCGGTTCCTATGGACGCAGCCACTGCATCACTCCATCTTCTTGAGGGACTTCCTCTTTTTTTATTCCCTTTGCTGTTCCTCCACATTACTGACATGAGGTCCTTCTGCAGGGACTGGCCTCTCCACAAGCTCTCCAAAATATATAAGACAAAGTCTGCCATCCTTGTCGCTAAGGTGCACTCTGGCCTGACGTCTTCCAACAGGGGCCTGTCCTTTTCGCAGTCCGTAGGACTGCAATATTCTTCTCCAGCCTCACAATTCAAATGTATCGATTCTCCTTCAGACTTCTTTGTTCGGGGTCCAAGTGTCACATGCACATGAGACCATTGGAAGTACCATGGCTTGGGTCAGGTGCACCCAGTCTTCAAAGTCACACCCTTGATTTCTGATACTCTAACAAGTGCACAGCAGATTGACCCAATAATGTGTCTTTTGATCTCTTGACTGTTGCGTCCATAAGTGTTGATGGTGGGTCCAAGCAAGATAAACATCTATGGCAATTTAAACCTTTTCTATTTAAACCTTTATCAGGATGTTACCTATAGGTCCAGTTGTGAAGATGCTGGTCTTCTCGACACTGAGTTGTAATCCATAGTGAAGGCTGAACTCCTTGATCTTCATCCATACGTGCTTCAAGTCCTTACTTTCGGCAAGCAAGGGTGTGTCATCTGCACATCCCAGGTTGCTAATAACCCTTCCTCCAACCCTGATGCCACGTTCTTCTTCCCCCCCGCCCCTTGGCTGTATTCTTGTCACGTTCTTCTTCACGTAGTCCAGCTTCTCTGATGATTTGCTCAGCATACAGATTGAATAAGTATGATGAGAGGATACAACCCTGATGCACACCTTTCCTGATTTGAAACATGAATATGCCCTTGGGCTGTACACACAACTGCTTCTTGATCCGTGTACAAGTTCCTCATGAGCACAATGTAGTGTTCTGGAATTTCCATCCTTCTCAAGGTTTTCCATAGTTCATTATGATCCACAAAGTCAAATGCCTTGGTATAGTCAGTAAAAAACACAAACAAACAACTTTCTGGATTTCTCTGCTTTCAGCCAAGATCGGTCTGATATCAGCAGGGATAGTACTTTTTCCACGCCCTCTTCTGAATGCAGCCTGAAGGTCCGGCAATTCCCTGTCAATGTGATGCTGCAACCGTGTTGGATGATCTTCAGCAACATTTTACTTGTGTGTGATATCAATGCTACTGTTCTGTAATTTGAGCATTCTATTGGGTACAAATATGCATGTCTTCCAGTCAGTTGGCCAAGTAGCTGTCTTCCCAATTTCCTGGCATAGAGGAGTAAAAGCTTCCAGTGTTTGATCGGCTTGTGGAAACATTTCAATTGGTGTTCCATCAAGTCCTGGAGCTAAGGCTTTCAGTGCAGCTTGGACTTCTTCCTTCAGCACCGTTCATTCTTGCTCATATGCTACCTCCTGAAATGGTGGAATGTCAACTAATTCCTTTTGGTACAGTGACTCTGTGTATTCTTTCTATCATCTTTTGATATTCTTGAATCATTCAATATTTTGCCGATAGAATCTTTCAAAATGCAACTCAAGGCTTGTATTTTCTTTTCTGCAGTTCTTCCAGTCTCTGATTTGTTGAGTGTCTTTTTCCTTTTTGGTTTTGTAACTCTAGGACCTTGCACATTTCATGATAACATTTGACTTTGTCTTCTTGAGCTGCCCCTTGAAAAATTTTCTTCATTGTAAATATATAATATATATTTATACATAATTTAAATGTATTTACATACACCCCACACCTATGCACTGCATCTGTGCTCTGCTGACATATATTTTCTCCAATTCTTACAAAATTAACATGGGTGGCAGAACTGGTGTTTGCCTAGAGTGCCACGGTCCCTGGCCAGTGCCTGCGGGCAGCACGGCAGACGGGGTCACGTGGTGGGCCCATGGCAGTTCAGGGTCCCCTGAACATTCTTCTTTTCTAGGCAGAGGTGGCCTGGTAGAGTTCCTGACTGTATAACTCCTTACATGCACGATGAGGAGGAGGACGATGATGATGATGATGACTGTGCCCATGATTTACTCCTCTGATCCATCTATACAAGCAGAGGCAAGGCCTCCCTGCTCAGTGTAGGCGGCTCCCACTGCCATCCCGAGTAAGGACAGGAGAACAGGTCCGCTCATGTTTTAACACTGTGGGTATGGAAGAAGGCACGGATCATAAGGCACGGGATCCACAGTGAAGACGGAGTCATCTCCTGATGAACAAGAGCTCCTTGTGTCGGGGTAACTAGGAGAATACTGTTAGAGGGGTGGTGTGAGATCCAAGTAGTCCTTGGTGGTGGTGAGCGTGAGAATCCGATCCAAGTCTTCCACCAACTACTTGAAGGTGGGTCTCTGGGAGGGTGCCAAGTGCCAGCAGTCTCACATCATCATGTACAGCTCATTGGTGCAGTTGGCAGGCTTGTCCATGGGATGCCCCCCTTCAGCAGGTTAAACAGCCCCCCAGAGTGAAGATCTCCCATGTCAACATCCAAAGGACCAGATGGCACTCTGGTGGGTACAGAGTAACAAAGAAGGCTTTGGGGGCCATCCACTTGACCGGGTGCCGCCTGTTGGGTGGTCTGTTGTTGATGTCTCCGGTGAGTCCAAAGTCTATTTTCATCATGTTATTCTCTGTGACCAGGACATTTCTGGCCGCAGGTCTCGATGGGTGCATTTTGGGTAGGCCAAGTACCGTACATACTCAAGTATAAGCCGCGTCTTTCAGCACATTTTTAATGCCGTTTTTGTGGTAAAATTAGGTGCCTCGGCTGATATTCGGGGTGGCTTATACTCAAGTATATACGGTATTCCATGCCTCTGGCCAGCTGATAGGTGCAGGATACCAAGTCTTTGAAGGTGATCTACTCCTCTGGCACATGGTTAATGTGTGGGAGTACTCCATCCCAGGAGGCCTGGGGACAAGGAGGCACTCCTGGAGGTTGCCCTTGGGGGGATACTCTACTATGACATAGCGAGGCCCATCCTGGGTACAGGCTCCAAGGCGATGATGCTTTTGTTTGCTGATCATGTTCGTCATCTCCATCTCTGAGACCAGGCCCTGAAGGCCTTTCTCGGTGGTGTCACCTTTCAGCATCTTCGCTGCTTCCTTGGGCTTCTCCTTGTGGATGTCCACAGCTTCGGCCATGACCACTTGCCCAAAGTGGCCTTCCCTGAGAGGCTTCTCCAGAGACAGCTTATATCTTGGAAACTCCTATTTTGGATCCTCCCACAATTCATACTCGGAGACCCCTGCCAACATGGGGGCATCTGCCAAGGAGGAAAGGCGTGCCTTTATCCTCACCCATGGGGTGTTGGAGTTCATGGAGGGCTGGACTCGGCAGACACTGCTCCCTGTCTCCTCAGGGGGGTGTGCTTGGTCAGCTTGTGCACAGCCGGCTGAGCCGCTGTCTTCAGGGGGCACAGGGTGACGGTCACCACCATGCAGGCAGTTAGGAAGACCCCCGATGCAGTAAGTCCAGGTAGTCTGGGGAAGTGGTAATGTCTTCTTCTCTTACGGGAGCTGGCAGAACGGTCAACCATGCAGAGTGAAAGGTTATCCCTATAGAATTACCCGCCAAGCACGTATGTTCCCCAGCATCCTCAAAAGTTACATTCTGAATATAGAGAACTTCAATCTCTTTGTCGGTGGTGCTAACACCTGCAGCTTGAGAACCTTCAGGTAGGGCAGCCCGTGAGGCCCATGTTGGCTGCTGTTCTTTTCAACGTGCTTGATTCACTGGATGTGGGGCTGGACGCCCGAGGCTGCGCTCAGGTTTGGGGAGCCGAGAGGAAGAAAGAACTTGGTCTCCGCTGTCAAACTTGGCTGCCAGCAAGCGGGGAGAGCACAAGCGGGGAGAGCACGCAGGGGCTGCAGCCTCGGGAGGAGACGGGGGCCCTAGCTTTGTGCGGTTGCCGCCTGGGCCGCTCCGGCCCTTTGAAGTGTTCCATGCAGCTCTTTGACATCATTTCTTCCATTTCTCCTTTAGTTGCTCTGCATGAAGAGCAGGCTTCCGAGCCTCTTCTGACATCCACTTTGTCTTTCCTTGTTTCCTGTCTTCTTAGAGCCCTTTTGCTTTCTTCGGGAATGATGCTCTTGATGCCCGCCCCCAGCTCCGGGGGTCTTTTGTCACTTGTGTTCGGTGCCGGAAATCTGTTCTTGAGCTGGTCTCGAAGTTCTGATGGGCTGGACTCAAGATCCTATTTCAGCTCTCATGGGCTTTTCTTCAGCTTTAACCTGAACTTACAGGTGAGCAGTGGATGGTTATATTGAGCTTCTCCATCGTCTCTTCCCTCCAAGAGAGTCCATTTGATTTCCATGTATGCCATCCAGAGAAGTCCATGTGTACACTCAGTCACCTTTTGTGTTATTGAAAAAAGGGTATTTGCTATGAACATGCCATTCATTGGTCTTGCAAAATTCTATCATGCGATCTCCAGCTTCGATTCTATGGCCAAATACTTTTTAATACTGTTCCTTCCTCTTCGTTTCCATTTGGCATTCCACTCTCCAGTAATTACCAATACATCTTGAATGCATCTTCGAGCCATTTCAGATGGAAGAAGTTGGTAGAATTCTTTAATTTCTTAACACTAGCTTTTGTGGTTGGTACATAAATTTGAATAATAGTTGTATTGATGGGATTTTCTTGAAGTCGGATAGATATTGTCCTATCACACACAGAATTATATTTCAAGATTGATTTTAAAGTGTCGTTTTTTTTAACAATGAATGCAACTCCATTCCTCTTGGTTGTGTTATTTCTAGTATAGTTAATCATGATTTTCCTATTCAAAATGGAAAATACTGTGCACTTTTGCTCACTAATGCCTAGGATAGCAATCTTCCATTTCATTTTTGATGACTTCCAATGTTCCCAGATTCATACTTTCTGCATCTTTCAAGTGCCGATCATTAGCAGAGTTTTGCAGCTGTTTTTGATCTTAACTTGAGTCGCACCCCATCACCAAATGAGGACCCCCTGGGCTCCATTCCTACAGGCTTCTCCTCCCCACTCACATCACCAAAGTGGACTCCACTCTGAGAAAGCAGCTCCTCTTGGGTCACATCTTGGGTGCCCTCAGACCCGAGGGGTCGTCCCGGGGCACCATCTCTGGCAGTGTTCTGCTTCCACTATGCAGGCCTTCAGTATCTGACAGTGCTCCCAAGCTTGGCCTCAGGTTTCAGCGGCTCCTTCCTCCGAAGTGGGCAGCCGATTCCTTCCTGGTGGTCTGTTCTTACTCTAGAGCAGTGGTTCTCTGCCTTCCTCATGCTACGACCCTTTAATACAGCTCCTTATGTTGTGGTGACCCCCCCAACCATAACATTATTTTCGTTGCTACTGCATCACTGTCATTTTGCTGCTGTGATGAATCAGGTGACCCCAGGTTGAGAACTGCTGCTCTAGAAGCTCTGCTGAAACCTCTTCACGTTGGGTGACCCTGCTGGCATTTGTAATATCAGTGACAGCTGTCAGCATCAGAGCAACACACATGGCACCACAGGACGACCAACGGAAAGCCAAGTGGTGGTGTTCTTGGCTACATGAATGTGTTACTGGGAAATTGTCACAGTCCCCTAGCCCTCCAGACACTTGTTGGCGGGGAAGGAGTGACCCCAACCTGAGCCTCTGCCCCATCCCTTGCCCCACCCCTGCCCCGCCTCCTCATCCCATATAGCCACACCAAGATGTACCAGATTTCCCACATCGTCGTCATCATAGTCGTTCACCCCCTCTTCCTCCTCATCAGACATGGACAGGTACGGCTTATCGGTCCCCAAGAGCAGGTACTCCCACTTCACAGCATCTCCCAGGTCAAAGACCAAGTTCTGAAGGGGTGGGGGGAAAGGGGAAGCCCCTGAATTTCCTGCCAGAGCCACCCCACCCAACCTGCTCCCAGAGTAGAGAAGGGACCAGGGGCCGGGCCTCAGAGGCCAGACTGAAAGCTCCAGGCACTGCTGAGAACCCACCCTTCTTTGGCCAGGGAAACAGGTGGGGAAGTGGGGCAGGACTCGATTTCCAGTGTGCAATTGGCCTGTGATGATTCCACTCCTGGTCTCCCCGAGACAATTAGAAACCTCTGCCTGGCATGAACCTGGGTCTGGAGGTCATCCTGAGTGACCGGAAAGGGTCCCAGCATGTGGAGCACAGGCAAGTCGAGCCCAGAGACCCTGCAGAAGGGCACCTGGCTGTCAGGTTTCAAAAAAGGTCTCCCCAGCCTTGGATGGTAGCCAAAAGGCTGTCAGGTCAAACCTACCCAGTGGTAGCAAGGAAGAAAGGTCTGGGAATTACAACCAAGAAAACTCTATGGGGAACGATAACGAGGCCTCTAAAGTAAACCAGAGACATACACAATCCAGAGACAAGTGAATGGATTGCTACCCCTGATCCAAGAACAATTAGTTCTTATGACATGGCTCTGCCCAATGCTTGCCTTCGTAAAGAGATCACTGAAAATATGGTGCTACAGCAAAGTGAGTGAAAAAAGCGGATGGTGCCCGGCTATCAAAAACAATAGCATCGAAAAAAAACAACAATAGCCTCCGGGCTTCTTAGAGGCTTGTATTCAAACAAGCAGCTGTCTAAGTAAGACATCAACTAAGTCTCCATGGAAGAAGCACACCAGCCTGTGTGATCCAAGGATAATTAACAATGTAATCCAAATCTGAAGGAGGGAAAGGTATCCACCCTTAAATTGTGAACACCCAATTTGCAGAAGGCCATGGCTCATGGTGGAAGCCCCAAATCCATCTGCAGGGTCCCACATAGAGGAAGCCTCTGGTGGATCCCCTCTGAGCACAGTCGAGGCACGTGAATAAGCTCGCGGTCAGACCGAGACTATTGTAAACTTGATTCTGGCCAATGGAATGAGGTTATAAGGTGGTGCCTGGTCACCAGATCCCACCCCCCCACCCCACCCCCGTGACCCCTTTTGGATTCGTTCTAGTTGTCAGTATGTCCTGTTTTCCCTCAACCGAGGTTTTTCCCCCCTCTGATTCTATTTTAATATTGTCATTGGTCTTTTCTTTTTATCTTTTAAAAAACAGATTTGTTTTGGCACGTTTTCCAGTAGATGAAGAACAGGATGGGCAGATGTCTAGAGATGACTGGTTTGTGGCACACCAGGAATGGGGAGTGGGGAGGCTGGGGGAAATGGGAAGCAAACAATGGGCATAGAAGGGAGAGGATGCTCCAGACCTGACTCCGGTGATCCATACACAACTCTTTTTCTAGAGGACTAGACGACTGAACTGTTGAGCTCTTGGGAAGAAGCTCAGCAACCCTCCAGAGAAGTTCGGCTCTAACACGTGTGGGGTTGGCCAGAGTCAGTATCGGCTCAATTGCATTAGACAACAGCAGCACGTGGCTCAGCGCAGGACAGAGAGGGGGCATCAGGGGCACCATCTCCTCCAAGTGGCTCACTTCCCAAATAGTTCCTAACAGGTGGCAGGGAGGGGGGGAGTTGGAGGGCACCACACATTCTAACCTATCACCCCGGGACCTTGTGCCACTTCCCCGGGATCAGTGTTCCAGAAGGAGGTCAAAGAAAAAAATGACCCCTTGGGGGTCCGAGGAGGAAGCCTTCCTGTAGCAGACCCTAATCTCAGTATTTAATGCCCGGCCCGAGCCCTTTGGGCAAGGCCCTCCGAGGGTGGTCACTCTGCTCCTGCTGGGATGGAGGGGGGCAGGGGGCGTGGCGTGGGGGGAAGGAGAACTGATGGTAGGTACAAGCACAAAGGAACCAGATGGCACAGGTGCTGTGTTTCCTGAAATCCTGTGCGGGGTTCTGTCATCCTGATCAGACGCAGGTATTGTTGCCAGCGGCCACGGAGTCGGCCACAGAGCGAAATGTTCCCCACGATGGGTTGCCCCCAGACTGGTGGTCCACAACCTGGTGGGTTTAAGGCCTTTCTTCCTGGTCCATCTCTGTCTGGGAGCGCCGCCCTGAAGTTAAGGCCTTTCATTGTCTGATTTTAAGGACTGGTGGGTTCGAACGCATAGGGTTGCTACAAGTCGGAAGGGACTCGGAGGCAGTGAGCTTGGTTTCAACTGCGTTCCCTGCCAAGGCTCCTAACTCATAACAAGTGGGCGACCGTCCAGGAAACCAACCAACCGAACCCGACAGTCAACATCATCTGGCTAATGAGCTGTTAAGGGACGAAGGCTTTCCTTCTTAATCAGGAATGAGACAGAGAGGCCTAAACAATTCCCACCTGTGCTTGACGTTATGTTGGAGACACGTCACGAAGAAAGGGAGAGAGAGAAAAACCAGAAGGGCTCAAAAGGAAGGACCACACTGTCATGGCTCGTCTAGAGGATTGTGTAAGTAGAACACCCTGAACAACTGAGTTCAAACTTGCTGCACTTTCAGATGAAATCATCAGGCGGTGCTCCTACATGCTGTAAGGACAGAGAGAGACCACCTCAAGGGTTGGCACCTCTAACTCACCGGTGGGCATGTAGATCGGTGCACGCCTTTAAGCTACTGAAGTCGAACATCTGCAGATTTGGTATCACAGCGATTCCGCCCCAGAGATTTACCCAGCGGAAATTGGTATCTCGCCAACAGACACACACGTACAAGAAGGTTCATCGCGGCGCGATTCAAAATAAACCCAGACTGGAACCATCTAAATGCTGACCAACTGGAGAACTAGTCAATATCTTCCGACATCGTCAACAGCGAGAAATCAATAAACAGTGACAGGCTTAACAACAGCTACACACAAAACCTGGCTGAATCTGATCCAGACGGTGCTGGGCGGAATCTATGCACGAGCACAGACTGTCTGATGGTGTTTACATAAAGCTCCCGAGCAGAGGAAACAGCTGCATGCCGTCAGGAGCCAGGAGAGAACTAGCTGGGGAAGGGACAGTGACCAGGAGGGGGCACGAGGAACTTCCGTGGTGCTGGCCCTGGCTGTGCAGGTGTGTCCTGTGTGTGAGAAGTCAGTGACAGATACACACTGCGTGCACGCGTCTGTACACTCTTGCAGTGAAGGAAGCAGCTAGAGGAGGTCGGCAAGCCAATCAGTGCCATGCCCATGCGTTAAGAATGCAGGTCTGCCCGTGGGGACATGTGATGCAGATGGCTCAGGCGCTCAGCTGCTGACCTGAAGGTCAGAGATCCGAATCCACTCAAAGGCCCCGGGAAGAAAGGTCTGGTGGTCTTCCAGATCCTCAGCCACTGAGGGACCGGCAGAGGCTACCCAGACCAGATGGTGACCGCATGGGTCGTTGTGGACTCGACGGTACCTGTGGCCCCTGAGGCCCCACTGAGCTGCCCACTCAGGTGGGCTGCCCTTCCCTACCCGCCTGGCTGCTACACTTCAGTACAGCGCTCGCAGAAGGCTCTTCAACATGGGCCAACGATCCACAGTACAAATATACACCCATCAAAAGAGAGCTAACTGTTGTGTTAGGAGGGTTATTTGTGGGCACAGCAGTGGCAATGGGGACCAAATATAGGGGCCCTGGGGCCTGGTGGCTGGTTCCTCCCCACAGAGCTGACCACCATCCCCTCCCGCACCCCCTTCCTGTGCCTGCCCGCCCCTCACCCCCCCGTCCCGGGCACCTTGCAGCCATTCCAGCAGTCCTGCATGTTGACCCAGTAGTTCTTGTGATTCCAGAGGCTCTCGATGCCCAGGAAGTGTTCATCCTGAGTGCTGTAGCTGCGGGCTGTGAAGGGGTCTATGAAGAAGCTCTCAGGCACCTCTCGCTTCCCCGACAGCACCAGGACCCAGGCGTGCACACGCAGGCCATGCAGGGGGTCCGGTGCCATCTTCTCCACCTCCTGCATAGGAGAGAGGGTGGCCATGGCCAGACGGTGGGGACGGGTGGTCGGGAGAGCTGAGTCCTGATCTAGATTGCACCACTGGCTTGAGGACATCACCCCAGGGGAGCCTGTTTTCTTAGGAAGAAGATGAGAGGATTGTGGTAATGGTTGGATAAGCCTTCTTGATATGATCAAACTATTGAATTGTATATGCTATGTGTATGAAGTACCAAGAAAACGTTATTTTTAAAGATGGGGGATCCGATATGGTTACAAACTGGACTCTGGGGTTCTAGGATAATTGGAGTTTACTGGCTTTATGTGCTGTACTTCTGGGTGAGATTTCAGCCAAAGGAAGGTCATGAGAAATCCCGTGTGGCTTTCTTGTTGACCTCCCTCTGGGTGGTCCAGGACTAGATGACTGTGTTGGGTTCGTTATTGGAACCTCGGGGCCTGAGACCAAAGAACAGACTCCATCAATGGGAGGTGGAAAGGAGTCGGGGGAGAGGGCGAGGATGAGAAGAATGTGGGGGGATGGAAGCAGAGATAGGAGGATGGAGGGGAAGAGGGAAAGCTGGAGGGGTGGTGGGAGGAGATGTGAGGATTCTTGGAAGGATGGGAGAATGGATGCTGGAAGCGGATCTAGGAGGTTGAATGATGAAAGGAGAATAGATGGATGGATGGATGGATGGATGGATGGATGGATGGATGGATGGATGATTGGATGGATGGGAGGGTTATGTAGGTATGGACCCAGTAACGAGTCCAGGACAAGGAGTGTCAGACCTGCACTGGGGTCCATGAAATCCATCACGTCCCTGCCACCTGTCAGCCACCTGAGGCGAGCGTGGGCTGGGGACCTAGCACTGTGGACCCACCAGGAGGCGCTCTTCTTCCTCCCTCAGCCGCTTCATCTCCTTTGCTTTGATCTCCTCCTGCCTCTTCATCTCCTGCTCCTGCTCAAACCTGCTGCTCAGGTCCCTGGGGGGTCTTATGGCGTACTTCTTGCATGGGGCCTTCTCCTCCTCGAGGACCACCTGCCACCCAAGGAGAGAGAAGGGTCAGTGGCTTTGAGCCAGCCCCGCCAGCCCCGCCAGCCCCGAGCACACACGGAGCTGCGGCCCCTCTGACCGGAGGTGGCCAATCTCTGGCTCCCAGGAGCGGGGTGTTCTGAGCTCTGGGACCTTCTCCTTTCTCTGGCCCCGAGGTTCATCATCTGTCAAGTGAGGAGGCGCTTAAGGAGCCCCCAGGTCAGGAGGAGGGCTGTTCTGAAGAGCAGATGCAGTCGCATGCCTCCGAGAGGAAGGCCGAGCCTCTCCTCCTAGTTGTCCACAGCCCCGTGAGCTGTGTGACCCCATCAGGGCAAGTGCTTGGGGGATGCGTGTGCAGATTTTCGGACCTCGTCTTTGGAGAGCTTCACGGGTGGACCTTAAAGTAAGAGTTCGCCAGGCAGGGAGCGCCATGAGGTTCTGTTTGTGTGCCCATGTGCGCGTGAGTGTGCCCAGAAAGTGCTCCGGAAAGACCCTTGGGGAGGCTGCCGAAGGGGGGCTCAGGGTCCCACTCAGGCTTCCTTCCCTAGGTTTCCACTGACCAGCTGGGTGACTTTGGCCATGTTATTTCCTCTCCGACGTTCCTCTGTACACACCCATCCGTAGAATGTAGTTGTTAGGTGCACGGAGTGGTTCCAACTCAGAGTTGCACCCTGGGCACAACGTGTGCTCTTCCCATTAGGCGCTGATGGTTGAATCACTGCTATCAGTCGGCCGCCGGAGCAATCCGTCTTGTGGACGGTCTTCTTTTCCGTGACGCTCCGCTTTATCAAGTACTAGTTCCTTGTGGGAAACTAACACTGGGGGAAATAGGACGAGGACGCTAGTCCCTAACTGATCACAGAGGGAATCTGGAAAACTGGTAGTCCACGGTAGGAAAGCCTCCACTTTGGTAAGTTAGAGGTGAAGTCCAAGTACATGATCCTGCTTTAAAGATCATTCCCACAGATTCTCCCCAGCGATGCTGCCTTGAAGTGAGCACACGGGGGTGTTATCTCCCCATAGAAGCAGACATCTGCTCCCGCTGTGGCATCCAGCCCCCCTTATTCCTTCCCCCAATGCAGGTATTAGGTTTCCTCACCTTGATGTAGTTACCACCCATCTTGTGACACATGTAACTACCGAATATGTACGTCTTATGGCTACCTATAAATATCTCACGTTAGTAAAGACACCCCCTCTCTCCCTTCTCTCTTCTCCCGCCTCTGCACGGACCACCAAGAAGAGCTGAGGTGAGCATGCTACCATAAAATGTGTCTGACTCCTTTATTTTAGCCTCTCTCCTGTCTTTCCGATGCTCTATGACTTTGCTATAACCTTTCCACATTATCGCCATTCAACTGCATCTATGGACCCTTCGGTGGTTAGAGGCTGGCTTCTTCTGACATGGCCCGCTCCAAGGAGTGAGCCCTCTTGGACACAGGTCCCCAGTATGCCAGAGGAAGTGCCCCCAGCCCCGCCGCGAAGGAGCATTCTCGCTGGGCTTCATCTAACACAAGTCCGTCTTTCCCACGGCAGTGCTTGGTACAGCCGCCCTTCTTTGCAGCACCATCATCCACTGGCATTCATTCTTCTTCGGTCTTCCTTGCTCCTTGGTCCGGCTCCCACACGCACATGAAAACTCCCTCCAACTTACTACCGCCGACGGAGTCGATGCTGCTAACAGTGACCCTACAGGACAAGGTAGAACTGCCCCTGTGAGTTTCTGAGACAGTAACTGTTGACAGGAACAGAAAGCCTCATCTTTCTCCCAAAGAAGGGCTGGTGGTTTCGAACTGCTGACCTTGCAGTTCGCAGCCCAATGGGTAACCCCTTCACCACGAGGCGATTGAAAAGACCAGGCTTACTTGTCAGAGAGAGACTAGGGGAACCCTGTCACTCTTCAGGTCTGGAGCAGAATTCACCCCCATGGCTCAGTGTTCAGCCTGACAATAAACAGGTCTGAAGGGAAGAGGTGTGAACACCTTGGAATAGTTAACCATTTGAGCTCAGAAGGGCAGCATTTCCCCCAAGGGCAAAGTCCATAAATGTTCGGTGAGGCAGAGGAAGGGAAACAGAAAACACAGCGGGGAAGTAAGATGAGAGATGATCCATTGTGAGGATGGTGGCTGTGGTAGTTACATCATCTGGTGTCAGTTGAGACTATTAGAGAGAAGGGGTGGAGTTGAGCTTGTCAATCAGGTCGCAGCTTGATGACCTTATCTGGAGGCGTGAAGGAGATAAATAGCTCACTGGAGGGCTGATAGACTCTCTGCTGGTCTTCCTGCGAGAAGTTCCTATTGACAAGGCACATGGAGTTATGCTGATGCAGCTAGAGCCCTGGAGCTGGAGGAGCCACATAGAAGAGCCACGCCAGAGCTGAGATGCTTCCACTGCCACTGGATCCACAAGACTTTCCACCCACCGGCCTGTGATCTTCCAGCATTCAGCATCATTGCATGTGCTGCATGAGTCTAAAGAGGAATTTATGGACTCGTATGGACATATGGGGTAATATCAGACTTATAGACTTGATCTGGACTAGACTGCGATGGTTTCTTAATGTACAATTGCTCTTTGATATAAAGTTCTCTCTTACACACACGAGTCTCCCTGGATTTGTTTCTCTAGTCAGTGGCCAACCAAGAGGAAACAAAATCTTCCCGAATCATTGAGTGGGAAATAGATCCGTGCTGTACACGTCCACCCGATTCACAATAAAAAGCTCTTTGAAAAAGAAAACTCGCACTGATCATAAAAAGCAAAATGTCACAGTTTGGACCAGGTGTGCCTTGGTCCTCCACGGACGTCCTGAAGAGGCCTCTTGCAGCAGTTGTAACCAGCGTGGTTTTCCGTCATTCCATCTCTTGCTCCCCGGGCATCGACTGTGGATCCAAGTAAAATGAAATCCTTGATAACGTGCACCTTCTCTCTGGGAACCATGGTGCTGGTGGCTCAGGCCTTGTTCTGTTGTACAGAAGATCGCTCTGAGGCTGCAAGGTCAGCAGTTCGAAGCCATCAGCCGTTCCTCGAGAGAAAGATGAGACTCTACTCCTGTAAAGATTTAGTCTCGGAAAGCCGCAGGGGCAGTTCCACCCTGTCCTGTAGGGTTTCCATGACTCAGAACAGACAGTGAACTTTGTTTGGTTTCTCGCAACCACCGGTCTACCTGTATCTACCTACAAGGATAATCCACACACCTGGGCCACAGCATTGGTCCTTTGGCGTCACTCAGCATGTTTTCAAGGTTCATCCGGGTAATAGAATGTCTTGGAGCCCTAGTGGGATGACGGTTAGGCTAACCCAAAGGGAGGTGACCCTAAGAACCCACCCAACGGCTCTGTGGGAAAAAGATGTGTCCATCTGCTTTGGTAGCTGTCCCAGCCAAGAAATCCCTTGTCACATGGAGTCCCTCAACAGCAACTTCTTAAGGAACTGCCAAACCGCGGGTGGCCCGTCTTACCTCCCACCCACATCCGCCACCCTTCGGTTGTATTAGAAGCAGCGGGAACTCGCAACTGGTGAGGGGTCATCGGGTGGTCTGAGCCCAGCCGTACCTCCTTGGCCTTCGTGGTGAGTGGACACAGCTCCCGCGTCAGGTCCATGGCGCACAGGTCCCTGGAGGCGTAGCCGCTGACGCAGTAGGCGTCGTAGCCGGAGCCGATGAGCATGGAGCAGAGTAGCGTGCTGAAGTCGAAGCAGTTGCCCTTCTGCTGCTTGAGCACCGTGGTGGGGGAGTGCAGGTGCGTGGGCTGCGCAGAGCAGGCTCGTCAGCACAGCTGGCACCAGCTGCCCCACCAGTCACAGCCCGCCTGGCTGTGTTAGGGACCCCACTAAGACCGGGACCCTGGCTGGAAAGCACACCTGACTGTGTGCTACTGCAGAGCCACCTCCGCGCTGGAGAGGCTTTGAGCTTGCTTCTGGGCCGGATGCTCTTGGAGTGCCTTTCAGATTCCCAGGTTCCCGTCACTTGCTAACCTTGTCTTCTCTTTCCTTTATCAGTTCTCTCCCGTTTCCTTCCCTTCTCCCTTCTTAATGGGGACCCGAGGCTTAGAGCTGGAACCATGAAAGGGGGACCCACGCCCTCCAGACTTGCTCCAGACCTTGGGCAAGTGCCCAGCCCTCTCGACGCCCACTCGAACACGCCCCCAACCCCCATCCCCAGGTGTAGACAGGCTCCTAGGCTGTGTGGCCTGAGCCCAGCTGAGCTGCCATCTCCCAGCCTCGGTCTGTTTTCCCCTCTTAAACTTCAGGGGCCTAAGGGTGCAGCCTGTGGTGGGTGGCACTGACCGGCTTGATGGGGTCAGGCAGGGGCACCATGGTGAGGAAGTCGGAGACAAACTGGGCGCAGCTGTCCCAGTTGTAGAGGTCGGAGTAGGACATCAGTGTGGGCCGGAGGGTCGTGCTCACGAACTTCTGCAAAGAACGGACCTGGTGTTTAGATGGGGTTTACAAACAGAACAAAAATCACTGCCCTCAGGTAGATGGCCCCTCCGAGGGGCCCTACGGGACAGGGCAGAACTGCTCCTGTGGGTTCCCGAAACTGTAACTCTTTACGGGAATAGAAAGCCTCGTCTTTTTCCTGCAGGGCAGCTCATGGTTTCGAACTGCTGACTTTGTGATAAGCAGCCCGAGGCGCAAATCATCATGCCACCAGGGGTCCTACGATGGAGTTGGATCCCTCAAAATAGGTGCTGGCATCCTGACCCTTACTCCTGTGGATATGATTCCATTTAGAATAGGGTTTTCTTTTTTCTATATTAAAGGGGCCATATCCATTAAATCCCTTTTGAGATGATGAAAAGAGCCTATTAGATGCAGAGAGAATCAAAGGGGATAGGAGAAGTGCCTCCTGGGCTTCCCCATCAGAGGGAGGCTGATCTCCTTCCCAGCTGTAATCCTCCCCACCCCTGCTGGGCCATTGGGAGGTTCTGGCCACAAGCAGCTGCACATCCGCTGCAGTCTCCAGCCCCAGAGGCCAGTCTGTCCACTGATGGGCAGAGAAGTGAACCTGGCCCCAGTCTCTGAGCCTCCCTGGGCCTCAGTTTCCCCATTTTTAAATGGAATGAATCTAAAGGTTGCAAAACAGTTGCCCACTGGCTTGGCAGGGGTCCACAGACCTGCTTCATTCGGCCCATGCATGAGCTGCCAGCATTTACAATCGAGAGATTCACAGGCAAGATTCCACTTTCCCTCTGCTCTTGATCTGGGCCTGCGCTTCCCTCTGGGGCTGCTGGCATTTGAGTTGATGAAGCTGGGTGAGGTCTGACTCTGGATGGAGACCTTGGAACCTCTGACTACCACCCGATGCCCCTGCTCTCTGCGGCTCCCCCTCCCCTCCGTCCCGACCCTATCCCCACCCCACCTCCACGGCTTTCCACCTCCCCCTACTCCATCCCTGCCCCTCCCTGTACTGTCTGCCCCAATCCCTTCCCTGCCCAATGCCCTCCCCAGCCTTACGGGCACTTGGCACTCATTCAGCGGGTGCAGTAAGAGGGGCACTCGGTCCGGGCACAGGTGACTGTACTGGGAGGAGAAGTTGTCTGCCACCTGTAGAAGCTGCTCCTCCTTGGGTGTGTTGGTTTTGTAGGAAAGGGGCAGCGTGGAGATGTCAATGGTGTCTTTTTCCCTGCGCCAGCACGAAGGATGACGTTAGCTTGCGAGGCTGCCCGTGGCTCGCGGGGCCCTGATCCATGATGGACTCTCCCCTCTTCCTCCTGACTCCACACTACTTCGTGCAAGACAGGGACCGTGATTATCCGCCGCTCTTTGAAGCAGTTGGAAGAACCCAGCACAGAGAGGTTGATTGACTTGCCCAAGGTCACACAGCTAGTGAGACTCACACCGGGCAGGATGGAAGCCAAGCCCTCACTCTCCTGTCCTGGGCTGGTGCCGCCCAGCCCAGGCACCACCATTCTGTCTGCCTCCCCGTCCCCAGCCCACAAAGGGGACACTCACAGGGCCTCCCCTGGAGTGGGGACCTCGATCTCTGCCAACTTCTGCTCCATTTCTCTCAGCATCTCCTGCGTCAGGGTGGCTGTCTCCTTCCGGGGCGGCTTTGTCATTTTCTCGAGCCTGGGGGGGTATTCTACCCCCTCCTCCCGCTCGGCGGCCTCCTCCTCTTCCACCTTCTCCCTCAGGACCTCCATGCTGGCAGCTCCGGGTTTCTGAATGAGAAAAGAGCACTCAGAATGGTCACTGTTGGCCCAGGAAGGAGAGCCAACGAGGCCACTTGTGTCCAGGGGTGAGGGGTGGGGGCAGGGAGCTGGTTTTAGGTGGCATCGATCATAGATTAATGGAGGCCATGATTCTGTTTAAATTCCTTTGGATCAAGGAGAAGTGTCTTTCCAAAACTCTAACACAAAGACATTGTTTGGGCAGGAGTAGGTGAGCCAGACTTAAAATGCCAGTCTCCTCTGGCATATTAGTTAGGACAAGTCCCTTCTTCTTGGTGAGTGATGCTACCGCGATAGGAGTGACTGCAGGGCTACAAAACCTCCCGTCAAAATATATCCATTAAACCGATGAAGGAGACCCGGCGGTACAGCGCAGAGCCCTGTTTGCACGGGAGTTGAGCACTCTGGTGAGAGCCTAAAGGTCGGCGGTTTGACACCGCCAGAAGCTCTGCTGTAGAAAGATGTGGCCGTGTGCTTCCATAAAGATGGCAGCCTTGGACACAGTGTCAGGCTGCTCTACCCCCTCCCGTGGGTCACTGTGAGTGGGAATCAACGCGATGGCAATGATTGCTTTGGTGGTGCAGGTTAACCACTCAGCTGCTAGCCGAAACAGACACACCAAACTCATGCCACTGAGTCCATGCTGACTCATAGCGACCTCGTAGGACAGCGCAGAACTGCCCCTGCGGGTGTCTGAGGCCCCACCATTCTCCAGCGGAGCAGGTGGCAGTTTCAAACTTGTGGCTGAACTTGTGGTTAACACCTCAACACATCACTCACCACACCAACAGGCCTCCTTGCTAACCAAGAGGCAGTAGAAAGCAATACCATTTACAACAGCCACCCTAAAGATGAAATAGGTAGGAATAAATCTAACCCGAGAAACAAAAGATTTGTACCAAAAAAAGCCCCTACAACTATAGGAAACCAAAAGACAGTTACAAAAATGGACAAACATACCATGCTCATGGATAGGAAGACTCAACATCGTGAAGATGTCGGCACTGCCCAAAGCCATCTATAGCTGTAAAGCAATTCTGATACAGACTCCAGCAACTTTCTTTAAAGAGATGGGGGGGGGGGAAATCACCAATTTTATATGAAGAGGAAAGAGACCTTACACAAACAAAACTCTAGAAAATAGGAGCCATCGGAGACCTCATACTTTCTGATCTCAAAGCCCACTGCATGGTCATGGTTGTCAAAAGACACAGACACAGACACCAATGAGTGAGAGTCCGGAAGTAAATCCATCCACCTGTGGACACATGATCTTCGACCAAGAGCCAAAGCTCATTAAAGGAGACAAGAGGCCATCTAGTTAACAATGATACTGGCAAAACTGAATCTCCATGAGAAGAAAGACGAAACAGAACCCAGATCTCATGCTGTATTAAAAATTAACTCAAATTGGATCAAAGATCTAAAATGTAAAACCTAGACCTGGAAAGATTATCAGTGGGAAAGCAGGGTCAAACTTAGGGGGCCTAGGACATGGTATAAATGCACTATCAAGCACACTGAAAACACCAGAAGAAATATTAGATTAGTTATTGCCATTAAAAGATTTTACCAAAAGAATAAAAAGGGTACTCACAGACTGGGAAATTATATTTTGGTATCGGCATATTGGACAAGAGATTAATCTCTAAGGTGGACAGGAAACTTCAACACCTCAACAAGAAAAAGACAAATGATCCGATTTTAAAATGGGCAGAAACGAACAGACACTTCACCAAAGAATACATTCAAGAGACAAAAAAAACACACGAAGAAATGCCATTAGCCATTAGATTCCCGATTAAAACCACAATGAGATATCAATCACCGAGCAAAGTCTAAAAACAGGAGAAGAACAAGTGGTGGTGAGTGTGGAGTGACTGAAATCTTCCTGCGCTGCTGCTGAGACTGTAAGTGTCCAACCGCTGTGGGAAAGGGGAGGGCGCTTCCTTCCAAGAGTTAGGAATAAATGTACGCCAGCAATCCCGCTGCTTGGTATGTATCCTGGAGAAATAAGAGCTGCACCACGAGGCGATACACGCACACCTATGTTCATGGCAGCACTGCTCACAGTAGCAAAAAGATGGGAACCACCTGAAAGCCCACCCATCACGAGAAGGATGGATAAACAAACTAGGGTGCATACAATGGACTACAATACAATGTTACAGAATGTGGCAGTTTCATCACCTCCTGTCAACTTGCAAAGGGGTAGAGTCTAGCCGGTCAATCAGGCCATAGCCAATGAGGCCTCTGTGTGGGCATGGCCTTCTCCTGAGGATTCTGGGAACTCCTGTAATCCTCCCTGGAGACTGGAGACACTCTCTGGTGGTAAGTCAGATGGGCTACGCTGATGGGCTGGGGTGCCACGTGGAGACCCACGCCAGCGCTTAGATGCTTCCACTGCCCCTGAATCCACAAGACTTTCCACCCACTGACCTGTGATCTTTCTTCCTGCATTCAGCATCATCGCATGTGCTGCGTGAGTCTGAGGAAGAATTTATAGACTGGTAACGGACCTAGGGGCTAATATCAGATTTATGGACTTAACCCGGACTGAGTTGGGATGTTTTCTTAATGTACAATTGCTCTTTGATATAAAGTTTTCTGTTACATAGCTATGAGTGTCTCTGGATTTGTTTCTCTAGTCAACCTGGACTACCACACGGAATAATGATGAATCTGCGAAACAACTCCTAACATGCATGGAACTGAAGGGCGGTGTGCTGAGAGAAGCCAGTCAACCACAACATGGCAAACATTTGCACAAAACCATTTGTGTAAAAAAAAATCAAGAAAAGGTTATTTCACTAAAAGAAGCATGGTGGATTGCCAGTGGCTGCATCGAAGGGCTCAGACAGAAGGACCATTGTGAGGACGGCACAGGACCGGACGGTGTTTCGTTCTGTTGGGCACAGGGTCTCTATGAGTTGGGACTGACTGCATGACACCAAACCACAGCAAGAGGGGTCGGGAGGAGGATGGAGGGTTAATTATTAAGTAGATGATAGACATGTACTAGGGTGAAGGGGAAGGCAATATACAATAAGAGGGAGGTCAGGAAAAAAAAGTTTCAGGATTGTAATCAATGACAGGAAACAAAATCTGTATGAATTGTTGAATGGACAACTGATTTACTCTGCAAATCTTCACCCAATTTTCAATCAGTTTAAAAATAAGTAAAAGAAGAAAAGACAGCCCAGGAAATCCCATGGGGCAGTTCTACTCTGTCCCTTGGGGGCTCTAGGAGTCAAAAGCCGACTTCACAGCACCCACCAACCAAGACCGATACGTGAATTGGTATAAAGAAAACTTTAATAATTAGGTGATACAGGAAAGAGCAAAATAAAATAAAGATGACAGATGAATGATAACCAACTCATCAAATTGAGAACGGAGGAGCAGAGAAGGCAAAGGCCAAGCAAGGGCACCTGGCTGAGGGCAGCGTGGGGGTGGAGAGATCCAGTCTGCACTCTGCAAGCCAAGCTCTGTGTCAACCCAAACTTGGTTGTCATGTTTGAGCCATCCGGAGGAATCCCGTGCCCTCAAAGGCCCCAGGGTGGCCAGAACAAAGCTGACTACTGGGTCTCAAGCCCCAAATCCAGCTCCTCCTCCCTACTGCAGAACCCCAATCTTGCTGGAGGGGAGCAATGCGATCAGTTGAAAATGCTCCCTTGTAGCTTGAGGTGCCCCGTAACACCCCCAAGTTTGGGCCAGTGAGATGTGAACAAATTGCTGGGAAGACTTGATAAAAGAGCTGACCCAGCTGGCAAAGACCTTCACCCTTCTGTCTTCCTGCTTAGAACAGGGACGTAGGATGGAAGGTGGGGCAGTCACTGTGTAGCCATGGGATGAACACACCTGAAGACCAGAGGCCTGCTAAGGCAGAACACAAGATAGGGGGAGCTTGGCTCCCTGATGGAGCTACCTTCTCAGGCCTGGAGGGGCCCCCTGCACACTTCCAAGTGAGCAGTAAGCTTCTGTTGGTGAGGCTGAGTTCAGTGGGTGTCGGCTATATGTCAGCCAGCACCACGCCAGCAATCTGCCCTGCCCAGCACAGCCCTCTGGACCCCACCTCACAGGTCCAGACAGGAGAACCAGCCTGCAGGCTGTGAGGCAGGGGATGGTCAGGGGCAATAAATGAGGACTGGGGCGAACGGAGCAGGATGGAGCTGAGACTAACTGTGCACATGGGGCCAGGATGGAAAGAAAGGCTATCCCCGCCGCTGCCTCTCCCAGTCCTGCCACCTCAGGCTCTTGGGGGTGCCAGTGACTTGCCACCAGCAGTGAGCTTGGTGGCTGAGGCAGGTTAATGTTGGGTCAGGTACTGGTCGGAGGCACTAGAAGACGCCTGCCTGGCCCTGTCGAGTAATTCCAGAGGGCCGAAGATGGAGGAGCCATCTACCTGGGCGCCAAAGGATCAGAGCACCACCCTACTGAGGAATTTTTATGGAGGCGGTTTACAGCTCCTGCAGCCTTAACACTTTCCCCCTCCCTCCTCATTTGCCCACCTGCTATTTCTACCCCCTCCCTTTATTGCTTTACTCTTCCCCCACCAGCTGAAAACTCGCTCTCCACCACAGATGAACATGACTTCTCGGGTCCCCCCAATGGGGGCCGTGGAGTTCGCCTGGGAGTTCAGGGTTCCGGTCTCTTTCTCTCCTTTTCCCTTCTCTCCTCTCCCACCCAGAAACACTGATTCTCCAACTCCCAGCTGGAGTCTGTGTATCCGGGAAGCGCAAGAATAGACTTCCCCTTTTCTTTCTCTCTGGCCTGGCCTAGGTGTTCTTTGCTGCGGACTTAATAGCGGGACCCCAACCCGATCTTGTAAACGCCCAGTAACACATCAAGGCTGTTTCTCCAAGGAGAGCGCCTACCAAGCGCCTGAAGTCTCTTCAGAGGAAGGCAGGGCATTGCTAGGGGACTGCACTGTGCTTCAAGTACCAGGAACACAAACAGAACCCACTGCCCTC